TTGGCAAACTGGGCTTTGTAGCCGGCGACTGGGCTTATTAGCCGGCGATTTTACTATATGAAATTTCGTCCCAAGCTGATTTGGGCTTAATAGGCAGCTGGGCCTATTAACCGTGGGCTTAATAACCGGCGACTACTGTATATTGTTGATACGGGCTGAAAATCAGCCTGAGACGTAAAGTCGATGGCGGAAAAACATTTATTACTTCGGAGTAATTCGTTCGAAACGAAGCTTTTGGTCTCATTCCTTATATTGATATGCATATATAAGCTGAGATCCAGCAGCTACTGTGGGATAGCCACTTACTTCTAATAAACTGCCAACAAGTAACCAATAGGATGTGTATACTGTAGGAACCACCATTCTCGCAGCACAGCAATTATTTGCAGAAGCCCAAACCCGTATTCTGCGGTTGTATGAAACCGCTGCGAGGGGGTTTGGCTCATCGGTGCACCTCCTCACTTTTCCTACGAGATAGTATTGCCGAAAATCTGTCCTATAAACAAAGTGGATCAGTGAACATGAGCTTTGTGTGCGGCTAAATTATACCTAAACACGTGGATCAGCTAGGACTACCAAGACCTACTCTAACATGAAACTGTCTATGGGGAGGCTGTGGTGTCTGACAGACATCTTCCTATGACTGCTGGGACAACTTTATCAACCTTGCAACCTTCTGAATCACTCAGACGCCAAGCATTTCCTTCAAAACAAGATTTTGGTGCGTTTAAGCATGACCAGCTTTGTTTTACAAACCTTCTTTTGATTTTAGCCATTCGAAAATTGTTGCTGGATCTGGAGCTGAAAAGAAAGCCGAAACAAAGGGACAAAATCAGTGAATATGCAAATCCAGGGTCTCAGGCCTTTGCACCACTCACCAGAGTGGGAGTTTTTCATGATCGCGGATCTGAGCGTTTTGTTGTTCGTAGTCACTACCTTAGCACTTACTCTGGTGAGTTATTGCTTCTCTCCATTCCTTTCAATAGAGAGCGGGGTAGGGGTCACAAACAGGCAACAGCCTGCTGGGTCGCAGTCGACCAAGCAGGATGCGTAGAGAGTCAACCACTGAGGCCTTCCAGCTGGGGCATAAGTTGAATTAAGGCAAATAAGCCCGACACAGTCTTGTCTTATTACGGCTGTGACTATGCCTAATATAGCCGGCTTCGATTATGTCACGGACGGTACCTCTCCAGGCGGGACGATTGGTGGCAGCGGATCTGGAGAACTCTAGCCAGTCTGTACTCCAGCGCCGGAGACTGAAGGTCCATGAACCACTTCCATGTCCTGACGGACTGAGTCGAGTCAGGTTTTGAGTTGACCCCCTCTTCGACGTTTCCAAGTTGGTAACAGTTTCAAGTCGAGGGCAGTAGCAATGAGCTACTAAGGTCGACGACGAAGAACTTGTCCAAACCACTTCAGTCGTCTTTCCTGAATGGGCTGGGATATCCTTGTGATTACGTCGCAGCGAGTGCGGACTGTCTCATTGGAGAAGAAGTTGCTGTAATTCACTCAAAGGATGTTCCCCAGACAGTAGTGGTCATAAACTTCTAGATTCTGTTTATCTTCCGCGCGCATAGCCCATTATTTACATCCGTACAGGAGAACGGACCGCGCAAATTCACGGTACACGCGGACCTTTGTGAAGGTGTAAATATCGCTTCAGGTCAAAAGGCACTTCCGGAGGCTAGAGAAAACTCGTCTTGCTCCGTCAATTCGGAGACAATGTCACCTTTACTCTGTCCATTCGGCAGCAACCTCGCTCCGAGGTATTTGAAACTGTCGATTTCTTCAAGTTGACAGCCACTAATCTCGAGAGGTCCCTTCTTTTGAGCAGGAGTGCAGTTTGAAAACATGTTGGTCTTCCCAGCGTTTATGGACAAATCGACCGATTTCGCGACCTCGTTCACCCGTGACGCCATAGACTGTAGATCGCCAAAGCTTAAAACTAGTAAAGCGATATCATCGGCATAGTCGAGGTTAGTCAATCGGCGTCCGTGTGCAAACTCAACACCTTCAGTTTCTTGTAGGGTCTTCCCGAGAACCCAGTCAATGACGTAGTTAGAGAGGATGGGCGATAGAATACAGCCTTGTCGAACGCAAGACCGAATAGCGAAGCGTTCTGAGAGGTTATTGTGGACTAGAACCCGTGCATTGGTGGAGTGGTAGTATGCCTTGATCATGGCAATTATTTTGGGTGGTACACCATCAAATGTCATTATCTGCCATGGGAGTCATGATGGATGAAGTCGAACGCAGCAGACAAAGTAAATGGTCGTTGGTAGCTATGGCGGAATTCAAGGATCCCTATCAGTGTGAGTATCTGATCCACACATTCACGTCCAGCACGAAATCCGGCCTGGTTGGGTCGCGTCCTGGAGTCGCGCACAGACTTGAACCGCCTGAGGAGAAAAATGACGAAAATCTTCGTACCAATGTCGATGAGGCTTATGCCGCGATAGTTCTCACATTTATCTTGTCTCCCTTCTTGTGGATGGACACGAGGATGCCCAAGCCCCAGTAATCAGGAACGGCCTCGTTTTTCCATGCTTGTGCAATCACCTGATAGAACCCAGGCGCCTTATTGTTGCGCAGCCTTTTATGGCATAAACGATTTCTGCTTCGGAAGGCAGTTATTATCGTTCCTCTTGATATAAAACCATGGTTTCCGTGGTCGCCTCTAGTGTGGCAGTAATTTGAACGGCAATACTGGAGTTGGGTGTCAGTAGCTGACGACGACTAATGATCTAGGAATGACCATCCTACTGTCCCCTGTCTTTGTCGGAAATACCTCAAAACATGAATATATATAAAATGGATTCGACAAAGCAAAGGGAGACCGGAATGGCCATTTCTGGCTTGCTAGCCGTCATCAGCCGGTCATACCCTATCTCGCGTGTTGGAATCCTCGAGATTCGAACCCGGGACCTTTGGTCATTGAGTTTAATACTCTACCTCATCATCATATCCTCAAAGTCTTTAGGTGACTGCCTACGTCAAATCTAATCATGAGCTCCTAAGCGAAGCGGAACATAATTGTTCCTTGTATGTTTACAAGTGGACTTCTACGGGCACAGAATAAAGTTTATTGTGTAAATCGTTGAGTCTGGTCCGCCAGCTCGTCATCCAACAGATGGGAGACGTAGGAAAACAGTCAACTTAAAACGATGTCTAATGCAAGATTCTATTGTTGGCCAGAATGTAAGCCAGTAAGCATCATCTACATTTAATTACCCGACTGACGATGGCTGTTTATGTTTCAGTTTGACTTTGATAAATTTGTAATTGGGATCGAAATTGGTATACCTGTTAACGCATGCCTCGTTTAAGTGCATTTACTCCAGGAATTTGCGGCTCTTCCTAGTTAGGCAGATTAGGGCTTTCTCCCATGCAAGCGTGTGTCCAGTGTCTCCATGAAACTCTGGGATACATTGTCTCGTCTCGTTACCGTTAACTGACGTTCATATATATGGGTGGATAGGAATTTCCCGGTTTGGCCAAATCAGAGTGCATCACAACTGATGCAGGGTTTTTATAAACGTTTTCGTCTCTGTGGAAATGGCCAACTCTGCCTTTAGGATTTATCTATATATAAACAGAATGGGTACATCCTGAGAGACAGATTGGTCAACAAGCAAATACTATATGCTCCCGATCAATAACCGGCAAGACAACGAACTCGATGACTCAAGGGTAAGGAAGTCTGCCCCTGACCGGCGAGACGCGAGTTCGAAACTCGGGTGTGGCGGCAATTTCAGTGGCTACATTAGACTTGACTGCCCGTAGTTTATGACGGCCAAAAATGCCAAAAAAGCTATACTACGGTGCCTTGTCTTTGCCTGAATACTAACATATATAAACATATAGAAACTCCGTTCTCCCCGCCGACTGGCATTGCTAGAGGCTGGGCCTGACTTCGCTAATGGACACTGCTGTCTATGACAGCAACTCAGGATTCTCTGCACAATAAATTCCTTCACTTTGGAGCCTCCTGCCTTTAACTATAACTCGGAATGATTTTAGTGCCAAGGGTAGACCCACCACTTGGACGCTACAGGCTCACAATCTCTTTTTACAATTTTTAGGACTACTGCAGCTCGAAAGCGACATTCCAGAAAGTATGCTTCAACAACAGACGCACGTTAAACCACCATCAAAGTTCACGCGAGATGGTTTCTTGAAGAGGCCCTACCGTTGGCAGGCGCAACTGGAGGCGCTTCAAAAGGTGTGTTGGTGGTGGTGGTGGTCTTGACCACTTTCGAAGAGCGCACTGGTTAAAGGAAATTCCGCTTGGATGAGTCTGCGGTCACATTTAAAGTGGTCCCATCCGCACCCTAATTTTTATCCTTGTCCATATAGCATAGGAGGCTTCTTTCAGCTGTTAGGACTACATCTTCTGATCTCTTGCTTGAGTGCCAAACGAAAACTATTGCTTCATTTTAGTTGGGTTATCTATATATTTCACATAAAAAATCGTATCTTGTGGTATCCCACTATTATTATTACCGTGGTTACTGAACTATATTTAGTAGAAGTGCAATTAGTTATAAAATTAATTGTGTAGTTACTGCTCCTTCGGGTATTACCACTACTGATCTTACAACTAGTACTACTACTACTGACTTCATGAATAGCGTCACATTTGTCATTAATAACATCATCATTAGAAATACTAGTATTACTGTTTAGGAGATCTATTCTCTGGCTTCCATTAGCTCTAACAGAACTATCACTCCTACTGTTTCTGCCTTCCCTACTGCTGACAATTTGTCTGTCGTTTCTGA